CTGTTACCAAGAAAATATCCTTTATTGAAGATGACCATTACTTAAGAACAGGAAAATAAACTTGCTCTTTTTAGAAATAAAATGATATTTTTCTCGATGTAGTTGCTTGTGCGAATTTGATCGAAAAAAGATTGGCACCGGTAGGGATTGAAAGATCGCGAAGTTTCGAGTGAAACGCCGAGAACGTGCGCGCGACGGACGTTTTCCCGCCGACACGCGACACAGGTTAAACTTCAGGTGAATTATTTTTACGCGAAATTTACAGCCGGCCGTGGAACAATTTCCGCACATTCGCAGTGTCTTCCTACCCATATCGTCGAGGGAGACTCTAGTCTCTATTAATAGTGCCTCTAAAAATATACGTTTAACGGTCGAACTCGGGAAAAAGACTAATTCATCGTCGGCTCCGAAATACGCGGTAAAGTATCGATCTCTGGTGTGTAATCCGGACTAATAGTGGACGATGAGCGCGACAGGTCGACGATGCTTAACGATTCAGCATAAACTTTCTCGCTCGTCCGAGCGCGAGAGCGATATGGCGCGCATGGTCGAGGAGAGCGACGCGGCCGCCTCTACGACCAGTCACCTGGATGAACCACGTCCATAATAACAAAACGGCCCGGTCCCGGCTTTAACGCGCGTCTTTCACACGCGATTACGTCGGGGGGTATGGTCGAGCTCGAACGGGAACGAGGTGTCGCGAAGGAAGCAGAAAAGACAAAGTAGAAAGGAAGGAGACGAGAGACGGCAACGAACGGGCGAAACGGTAGAAACAGAGAGTTGGCGCGCTCCTACGTAGAGACGTTTAGTCAGGGGTTGACCTGAATTCAGGTGGGGTGAATCAATATCCTGCCTGGACTGCCTGGTCTGCCTGCTTGGCTGCCTACCTTCGCTTCGCTGTTACCGTAGCAACCAGACTCCTTCCTTTATTAAATATTTCGCACGTCGTGTTTTCCACGCACGATTGTTTCGCGAGACATACGCGGGAAAGTCTCGCTTGAACAACGATCGTCATTCGCCTTTACTGCTCGGACGTTTGCGTTTGCCGCCGCCGGCAAGATCGACTCGACGCGACATTCGACTTAGCATGGGCCAAGGTATAACGACAGACCTCCGTGCGCTCCGTATCAAGGGTGCGACCTTGATGTGGAGTTCGATGAACCTGATCGTTCAGAGTCACGCGAACTGCGAAACTCGCCTCGGGAACACACATACTACAGCACGTCTGGTTTCCTCTCAATCATCAATCTTCCCGAAATTCGCGCGGATGAAGATCGACCTGATGGTTCGTAATGGGGGTTGTTTTTTACAAGCACTTGAAGTCATAACAAAATTGATTGCTCTCTGTCTCTCTTTTTCTTGATGTAATATTGCAGTCATATGATTTGCTTGCGTGGATTTAATCGGAACAATCGTAATACCGCGAAATTTGTATACATTCGATACGATCGTGTTACAATAGAGTCAACACTTAGTCGATCAATGACTGGTCATTGTCCAAGAATCTGTCATCTATTAAATGGTTACGTGTCTACTCACAATGTACGGTTCATAAGTTTTGAAAATGAAAGAATAGCGAATCGCTGAAGAATGTTGATCGATCAACACAGTTACAAAATCCTGTAGCAATTTTTGCTATACAATTTTCTCTGTGTAAGGTAAATCTATTCTTGATTGATGTATGATTATCAATACTGGGTTAATATTACCTATCAGAATCGAACCGATATCGAAAATCTGGCATTCAATAGCGGCCTAACACAAGGCCTGTCGTAAACGGGTTGCTCGCAAAGAGATCGACACAATTTTTGGCGATACAATCGTTTCGTGTAACAAAGGCAAGCGAAGAATCACCGTGGAGGTAATATTGCGAAGAATAAATTCAATCTAGGTGCGCGAAATGTCAATTGAACAGCAGATATTGATGGAACCATTGCAAAATCATGAAAAATGAGGGAATGTTTATACATAGTAAAATATCATCAACAAGTGACAATAACTCTAATTATATTTCTAATATTATGCGCTGGCGATTTCAACAATTGGATTCTGATTGGATTTACTGACCGCTGTCGCCGCAAAGACGCGATCATTTCCACTGTTCCGTGTGTGTACGTATTCCCTGAGCTTTTTTCTTTCACTTCTTTCTTTTTTTTAATAATGGGCTGAATCAGAATTACGACTTAACCAACGCGGCGTTAACTCGGTCTTTGTTTACGTGGCGGATTAACGTCGCTTCATCGAATCCGCGCTTTCATCGCGCATTGCTAAAGCCAGGCAATGGCGATATTTGGCTGCGTCGATGAACCGAATAAACATCCAGGTCAACACACGTGACAGCCTCGAGATCGTTTGGACTTGACGAGGCCGCGGTTATACATTCTAAATCCGCTACGAGGCGAGGCTCTATTTATACCGCGGTAACGAGCTCTTGGATGCGATCCTGCGAAACAGCGCCCGCGGAATTTGTTTCCTCGCGAAAGCGCGCGTGCGACGCCCGTCGAAGTCGTTCGGGATTTACACACGGCCGCGGGAGTCACGGCAGCATAACACGAGATGACTCACTCCGGGACGAGACGGCGGGGTCGCGAGATACGCTCGGATCAGCGACAGGGATAACAGAGGAGAACAGAACAGCCGTGAGCGCTGTTTTTGGGCGGTTTTATTAAAAAAAATTCGCACTTCCATTTTGAAGCTGTTATTTCACTTATATCAGCTTTATCCCCGTGTACTTTTTATCCCGTGGTACTTGCGTTTAAAGTATATGCGTCAATTATGACATTCTACCTCTACGTGACAAAACGTAAATATTGTATAAAGTCTATGTGTAATAATGCAATTCCGTCGTATTCTATCTCTACGTGACAAAATGTAAACAGTGTATAAGGTTTATGTGTAGACAATGAGTAATCTGTGAATGTCGCTTAAAGAACGTATGGCTTACTCAAAAATTAATTAAAAAAAGTTTATATGTTTGCTTAACTTTTAGAATTATCAATTATGAATGTTGTTTTCTAAATAAGTCCACAGAATTCTCTCTGATCACATTTTCTTTCTTATCTACAGAGAGTTAAATCTATCAATCTATTACGTAATGAAATAAACATTTTATGCAATTAGTTATCTTTTTTAAATATTATATTTACAGTTACTATCTAAGAAACAGATGCGGTTCATAATTTAATTATTTTTTTTTATATTTTAATGTAATCTGCAATATTCTATATAATTTATGTTGTCTACACATGTAAAATGATTGTATACATTTACGTAGAGAATACATAAACAATCTGCGTGAACGCAATCTTGAAATCTCGTGTTTTCCGTCGTGGACTTCCGTATTCGTGGGGTCGTTGCAAATCGATATCTTTTGGATGATCGCGACATGGCGTGTAAAATTTCGCGTTTTTATTGGTTTACAACTTCAGTTTACGACTGCGTGAATTGCAGAAGTGGATGAATTACGTCTGATGAATCGCTCAATAGGCTGTATTCGAACATATTTCAGCCGCCAGGCTGAAAGCGCTCGTCGCGGTCGAATCTTATCGAGATCGGATGAGAGGGAGGCTCGCAAGTTCCATGATGAAGTGACAGATCGGAGATCGAGGTCGATAGGAGAGATAGGAGAGCGAGTGACAAAGACCGATAGCTTAGAGTTCAGCGCGCTAATAGGCTCGCCAATCCGCCTTGAACTCGGCAACTTTCCCTACCCGCTAATTAATCTTCATCTCTTCATACTACACGTAGGATGCACCACCAATCGTCGGATAGGCAGCGGCAAGATATAAAGAAAGGTCAAGCGACGATGAGTTATTTGAGGGTAGCATCCGCGAAAAGGCGTCCGTGGGTAACGAGCGTGCGAGTGGATCTAATTAATCATACGTCAGTCATGAGTTTTGCACAGCTGCTCGCGGCATGACGCGTTAAATAAGAGGGATACTAAACCGAAGTTTAGGACTTGTGTATACCCTCTTGAATTGTGCAGAACGTCCCGTTTCTCTGCCGTTAATAGCAGATTCCTCGGGTAAACTGGAGACAAGAATTCTCATAACAAAATGTCGGGAATTTAATAGCTTACGAGTCGTAAGTGTATGAAAATAATAAATGGCCTCTCGCCCAAGAGATAGAGACAAAGAGAGAGAGAGAGAGAGAGAGAGAGAGAGAGAGAGAGAGAGAAAGAGGGAGAGAGAGAAAGAAAAGTAAGGGAGGAGAGAGCAAAATGGATAATAAAACTTTCTTCATTTAATTTCGAGCGCGCCTCACCATGACAGAGTTTTAATTTAGTTGTTAGTTTCGAAGGTATTTAATATCAAACTGTAAAAACTTGCGTGACGAATAACGACGCGTGCTTGACGTTTTTGCCGGAGAAAAGATCGGATCCGACGAGTGTTTTAATGTTGAGTAACAACAGTAAAATATCTGCGTATCTAAAGATAAACTAGAAGTACTAATCTTTGTTGGGTGAGGTTCTTTTGTTTCTATCGGGGGGAGAGGTCACGAGAGAAATATTGCAGGGCACGAAATAATTAAGACAGTGTCCTTATCGTCACGATGAGATTCGCAATTAAGTTGTCCCCTTCGTTCGTTTCTGCGACATAGACCGCAAACCGTCTTCGTTACGCGAGTATTAAACTTGCGCCAAGTTGAGACACGTAATACGCCGACTCAGGTGGAAGTTTGGAGTTGCCAACGAGGAGTGCACGATCGAGCACGAGCGACATGCGTCACGTGTGTACGAGTAATTGGAGTTCCCGCGATCGGCTCAATTTTTCTCAGTTTTTGAGAATTTCGCTTCGGATATACGTATCGTCGTTGCGATAATCAAGCCGCACAAAATATATTAGCGCTCGAGCAAAGACGCGACAAAGGATGCGCGGGAAGGCGCGTTTGACAGAACGGGAGATAGACACATATGGAGGAAGAGAGAGAGAGAAAGAGAAAGAGAGAGAGGGGGGGGGGAAAGCTCAATTCCGCGCGCGTACACCGGAAGCTGCACTTACCCGTCTGCACGAGCTTAAGCGAAACGCCATTGTGCTGCTTGAGCGGCTCGTTGAGACTCGGCTGCGTGAGGTCTTTGAGGGGGTTGGCGGCCTCTTCGCCGGCGGCACGATTATTTTGCATAGTCCCGGCGTGGTGTTCCTCGCGTCGTCCTTTCTTACTGAAATTGTCACCACCACCACCGCCGCCGTTACGACCGGCGCAGTTCTGTCTTCTGGCCGGTGTCTGACTAGATTCTCGTTTCTTCTCCTTCTTCTCCTTCTTGCGCCTGTGGCCGTTGTCGTTCGCGACGACGACCCGTTGCTGCTGCGATTGCTGCTGCGATTGCTGCTGCGTTTGCTGCTGCGATTGCTGCTGATAATAGTGATCGGTCTCCTCGTAACCGGCGTTCACAGCTGCGTCGTTGACAGTCAGTGACACGGACTCTCGAATCGGATTCTCATAGATACGCAGGAGCTCGTCCGCCGGGTAGAAGACGTACATGCCCAGAAATCGTCGCTGGCGCCGTTATCGCTGCCGTTGCCGTTGCCGCGACCGTAGCCGCAGGCGTAGCCGCCGCCGTCGCGAATCCCGTCGCTAGCGCTGTCGCTGCTACCGTTGCTACCGTTGCCGCTGCATCCGCTGCTGCACTGCCGAGATCCGCGCGAGCCAACATCGCTATCCAGCGAGTCATCCTCGATGCTGCGTGCGGGATCGGTATCGGCGCCGGCGTCCACCAGGAGACGCATGATTTCCGGTTAACGCGTCGCCCCGTCGCGAGGGTGCTGGCGACGCGACGCGATGCGACGCTTACCCCTTCGTCGTCGTCTTTATGCCGTCTTTATGCGCGTCTATAAACTGAGAATTGCCGGGGATAATGGGCCTTCGATCGCAGTCGATCGATCGAGGAGATCGATCCGAAAGGAGGCACGAGTAGTAATTAGCTCGTCCCTTCAGTTGGACACTTCTTTTCTTTTTTGGCAAACAAATGATGTCGAGCACACGACGCTTAAATATCTCTTAACGTTAACTCTCGTTAGAAACATATCTATCGTGCCTAATTAATTTATTCGTTTCCTACGTACTTCGTCGATTGACTGAAGTGGAAACGAAGAGCATTTCGTGTTATTTCGTACGATCGATCAGACGGCGCGTCAATTATTCCCGGCAGATTCTTACAGTTTATCTCACTGCCGGTCGTTCCCGTGGTGTTTTGGGTCTTGACAAGATCTATGGGGCCGGCTTATGTTGTCGGTGGTTGCCGAGGCCTCTTGAGCTGAAACAGAGATTTGTAAAGATGAGAGATTAGTTCGACGACCATTACAGAGCTTCTGCGCGCTCGTGTTCGTTACTTAATCGCGCTTTTTATTTCCCCTCTTCACCGAATTACAAATGTCCCTAAAGCTTGTTGAGATAACGAGAAAGTTCAATCTTAATTGTTAAATTTCGTCTAATTATTGAAAGAATTGCAAAGAGGGTAGTTAATATTAAGTACAACTTTCTTCTTTTCAGTAAAGTATTCGACGATAGGATGCATTCTTTTTTATCGTTAAATATTTTTGACAATTTGTCTCTCTTCCGTCATCTCTCTCTCTCTCTCTCTCTCTCTCTCTCTCTCTCTCTCTCTCTCTCCTCCCTTTCTCTATCTTTAGAAGAATGGCTAGATGTTGGTTTTCGTTATTGAAATTTCCGGCGTGTGGGGGTTTATAATTCAAGCGCGTGTGCAAACAAATCTTTTTTCATTGTTTTGACGGCGGAAATAGGTTTCGAAAATATTCATCAGCCCCATTTCTCTGTCTCTCTTTCTCTCTCTCTTCCCCCTATCACCCATTTCAAAATATACACTTCCGCTCGAATCCGGTTGCAATTTCACGGCACGGCGCATAAATCCCCGCTACGACAATACGTGGGAGTTACCTGCTTTCATGCATTATAGGGCAGCGTGTCGGCATTAACATACTTTAGAGTTCAAGATGCTCTTAAAGTGGCAATAACGGTGTACTTTGAAACGTAGTGCAACGCGCATGTGTGTACCCGTTTATTTCGCATCGATGCACGCGCTACTGCCGTTAAAAGTTGCGACGGCTCTTTTATGAATTTTTGCACGCCCCGTAGACGCGACCGCGCTGGATCTCTCGTGAGTAATACGCAGTAATAATGTGTAAGAAGGAGAAATAGAACTACTTAGAGACAGAGTAGATTTATCTTTTCAGCGGGTGTGTGGAAGCGAATATCTCAGCGTGGCGTGTATCGTTCTCATTGAAAAGATAAATCTACTTCATTCTCTGAGTAATTCTATTTTTTTCTATGCGCTGTTCTTGAACATGAAGCGAATATGAAAATAGACATCAAGATGTGAGCACGCATTTACTAAATATTCAGACGGAGATGTAAAGAGAAAAGTAGTTTTCTCTTTTTTTACTGTGTCGCAACTTTTTACCGACTGAGACGTAGACGTTTGAAGAAACGGATCGACCAATTGTGGTTTACGACGAACCACATCAGCTGCATTTATTCGCGAGCTTTTACACGTTAAGGCGAGAAGATTTTCTCGAAAGATCCTCATTGGTTGTATCTTCAAGATTTGCGGATTATCGCTGGTCTTACATCACCGTGAGAGCCACGTGAAAGTTCACACGTGTTTCTCGTCGCTGAAAGTCGTTACGCGTGCTCGCTGAGGAAACATTTCGTTCAATCGAAATAACACTCGGAAATCTATCCTGACTGATAGTCACGTACCAGAAAACTCGGTCAGGTTCGTGAAAATGGATACGTACACAGCTCGCTGTTACATGAACGACGCACTGATCTTGATAATTCGCGGAATATACCGGCTTGCTCCGCTGTCATCGCGAATTAAATTTTAACGCTGCGTGCCTTGCAGCTTCCGAATTGACGTTCTTACGCAACTAGTGACAAAAAAGTGGACGAATTTGGCGAGATTAGTTTCGACAGTGTCGGTGGGAATATTCCTGGCTGGTGATCGTGTGTAAGTTATTTCGATTGAATTCGTACGATTCGAGATGTGCATATTGAAATTTAAATGTTCGTCGATTACTAGGAGGAACGGAGGGGAGGTCCATTCAATTTTCGTGCGGGGGAGAATTTGTCTTGTCGGACGGGCAAATGCGCTTGATTGGCCGAGCACATCTGTTCGGTTCAAATAAAAATTTACCTCTCGACGGCACGTGCTCTCATTTTTTCGAGCAAACATGCCCAAAGCTTGCGTGTATTTTAATTCGGTATCGATCATCGATGCGAGCAAATCGAGCCGGTGCTTTTCCGGGGCGTACGGACAGACACGGCAGTGCAGATAATTACAATTTCGTTATAACGGACGGCCGCGCTAATGACACTTTAAAATCACTCTTGGCGCCGTGTAAATTAATATATCTTCTTTTAAGGATCCCACGGCGCGGCGAGGGTAATCATATTTTTGTGTTATAATGCACACTCTTCCCACACGCTACGTTCGACGCGCAAAGCGTTCGCGAACCACATCACCTTTTTTTCGACCGTTAAAAGCGCGGAAATCCCGTTATGCTATGGGATTATGTTGTCTCCCGCGTATATTCCGCTCAAATTCCGCCAAAATGTGAAATGCCCATCGTCTCGGGAGGAGTCGCGGGAAACACGTCTCTACTAAGAAGTCTTTTCCGCAGCCCTCTTCAAGGCGCGTACCGGAGCAGGCTCTCGAAGAAAGAACCATAAATTCTTGAAACGTGATTCTATTTTCGATGTTAAAAATACACAGTTACTCTTCATGAAAGCGAGAAGGGAAAACAAGTGTTTGGGGCCGAAACGATCGTGCAGTTCGATAAGATAAAATTTTGATACAGAGTAGCATGCATTTTTCAAAGGAACTCGAGAGCAGAAGAAACGAAATGAAATAGATTCTGCAGGGAATGTTCGGAGACTTTTCGTTTCTTTCACACACAAGAGATAAGATCTCTATAGAGAATATACGGTATGGTGATAGGTTAATCCTACGTAAGATTTTCGAAATCCTCTTTCAGACCAAGTAAGATTTGCATATGATACGATAGGAGTAACTTACGTACGATAAACTCTATATGCAGAGAAATAGGCGAAGAGAGCGAGAGAGAAAGAGAGAGAGAGAGAGAGAGAGAGAGAGAGAGAG